AAAAGCTCAGTGTTCTTACCTTTCTCAAAAGCCAAGAGATTTTTTTGTCCAAGGTCGGGAGAGTACAAGCGACCGATATAACCAGAAGCCTCAGATATGTATTGAATACCTCAGCAAATTATTAGCGATTAGGTACGAAAAAAAGGAAAGAATAGAAAGAGTGGTAAAAGCACTCACCAATTAAGAAGGAGAAGTTGGTTGAATATAGTAGGCGAGTCCTATAGCTAGAGTTAGAAGATAGGTTATATGAAAAATTTGTAAAGAGAAGGAAAGTAGGAAGAATAGTGCGGCAAGGATGATTTCGTACACAGTCACAGTTTCAATTCCATATACTATACCAAGATTCTGATCCTGCAAGCTTTTATTTCATTAATGGGTGGTTTTGAGGATTTCTAAGTTGATATCAGATTAGCCTTCACTGTATCACCCATAATGCCCCAAAGATACTTGCAGATTACAAAATACTCATTCTCAATTGGCTTCAGATTAATTGGCAGAACACTCAACTATAGGTAGCGAGCTTCTGGGAGATATCAGTTGAGCGGCCTGTCGGTCGATATGAACTATCGAATATATGTAACCTAGCAAAATACCAATTTCCTTTGAGTATCTCGAAAGTAAAACATATAGTAGGATAGAAGACAAGACAATTTGAGCAAAGGCATCAAGAAATGCGTGGGACAAATGGCAAGCTACTTTAATTATCTCTATCTTTGCTGATGGAGTTCCTCAAGTACCTCCCATGGTTATATTTCATGGTACCGACAAGCGACTCAGGCAAGAAAGACTATGATATGATCAAGACATATTAGTTGAATTCAATCCTACAGCTTATATAAACAATAAGCTATTCAAAAAGTATATTACCAACTATTTACTTCCTGTTCTTAAAGGCCAACCAACGCTCTTTGCCCTCAACTTAATGGGCTCCCACAAGACACCTGAATTCCTCAATCTCCTTTCTCCAAAACAATATAACCCCCTTCTTCATCTCCGCTAGATGCACTAGTTTTGTTCAACCTCTTGACATATCAGTAAACAAACTATTCAAAGAGCTTATATGGAGCCATACTGATGAATGCATATTCGAATTGCAATTAGCAGAGGAGTTTAGAACCTCAAGTGTAGGAGATCACCGTGATCTAACTAAGTAATGCATTGGGAATGCCTTCTATCAGTTTTATCGTGAAAAGGCAGATGTTATTTGTTACTCTTTCCGGAATATTGGGCTAACCTTACCTATTGATGGTCATTCTGATCATGAATTAGATATCAAAGGCCTGACTAATTTAGAAATTAGAAATTGGAGAGAAGAATTAAACTTACTGGATGAAGGAACTAATGTTGATAATGATGATGATGATGATATTGAACTTGTACATAATTAGCATCCTATCAATACCTTGAAGCCTGATTCATACCTTTTCTTCTAATATTCAAATCTTTAATTTCAACATCATTCCTGGTCACCCAGGGCCTTGGCATATTGTGCCAACTCCTTTTGTGCAAGTGCCAAGTTCCGATCCCCGATAGTGGATTTAGCGAGTAAATACGGTTTCTTTCTTTTTTTTTTGTTAAATCTGCGGTTTATTTGCACCTAAGTAATAGCGAGTGAATACAGGTTTTTTTTTTTTTGTTAAATCCTAGAATCTATTTGCTTATAGGTGCAAACCTCCACTATAAGAGCACAGCCCAGCTAAAGCATGGATCCTAGATACAAGTGCATCTCTGCAATAACCGCCCCACACCCCCGATTTAGTCCTTAGACATGCTGGTCAAAAACCTCCTCCACAGGCTTAGGGGAAAACAAGCCAGCCCAAGTCCCTCTGGTATGGGACCAATCGCACGTCCGCCCCCATGAAAGCTCCTTCTACACAAAACAAAAAAAGCACAAAACAGGACCGGTAGGAGCTAACAATAAAACCCATACTGTATTCTCTTGAGAAAGGAAACACAAAAGAAACCCAACAAAGGAAACCACTTTGATAAAACATGTTCCCCTTTTTTCAGCCGGTCCAGCCTTGGCGAGCAGCTAGGCATATAGGGGAGAACCATGATCCATTCATTTCACATAGTGAATGCAACTGACCCGGACGTGTCGGCCTCCAGAGGAGAGATCACTTATGGCTGATCGGACGGAGGCATGACTTGAGGCAGTGCAATATCAACTACGCATTGCTGAGTAACCCAGACATTGGTAGAACAGCAAACCCGACCGAGTAAAAACCCAAGAAGGGCAGGGAAGTATTCGAAACCTCACACAGCTTAGCCGAGGTGGCCACCATGGAGGGAGGAAAAAGGTGGTAAACCACAGTCTGGTGAACAGGAGCAAAGCCCAGTACCAGAGAGGGTGTATTTCGTTGAGCCTCATGATGAGTTTTGAGTGTCCAAGCCTATGAAGCTATCAAGTTCGGCGAAGAAGGAGGATTGTGAGGCATTTTGTGGAGTTTTACCCCGCTCCACCTTCCTAAATAGGAAGGCGAAATTTGGGGTCAGGAAAATAGCGGACGAGAAGCTTGTAGCGAGTGAATACGGTACAGTACGGTACTTGTACCGGTATGATGCATATCTCTTCGCCTGCATTCGAGACCCTACGGTACCGTAATTTCGAGCTGAATAGGGCGATAGTATCGCCACCTGTGGGAAAGATCTACCGGTATCAACTCCGCGGGGCCATACAGTACTTGTACTCTAAAGTAAGTTACTCGAGCATGATATCGTGGATTCCATTGGCCAGGCCACCACAACTAGGCGACCAAACCATGCCCTTATGGGCATGATCTTTGAAGATCGGTGGACAAAATACGCACTAAACCGCGGTGAAATCCGGTCACAAGTCGAGGGATAAGTAGACGTCGCCCTAAGCCCCTTTTTGTTATCCGAATACAAGATCATACTTGGGTACCGGTACCGTCCGTACTCGAGTACGGTACTCGTACTCGGGTACCATTGCTCAAGGAGTAACTTACTTGTACAGTACCTGTATCTATACAGTACTGTAGTGTGTGCCCCCTCGCTTTGTGATCAGAGTGCTTCTCCTGTGGGTAAGGAACAGCGGGTTACCCTCCTTCCCTTGATTCCTACTGGTATGATACCATCATCACCACCAACAAATTCAACCGTTTAGACTACCAGTGTTACTACCGGTATTACTATCGTAGTAATATAATAGTCTACCAATAACTTGCTATGCTCAAGTAAAGACACCGCCTCATAGCACATGGCCAAACGGCATCACCGTACTCGTACAGCGGGGCAGCAGCAAAGGAATAACCATCCACAGAAAACAGCAAGGACCACCGGGCCACAGCACAACTATCTGACAGCCGCCAGAGAAAGGGCCACACCGCCGCACAGAGAAATTACTAGATAATACGGAAAACAGTCCTTTTTGTTTTGCTTTCCTTCTCTTTTCCATCTTTACCTCTTGTGTGCTTCGCGGAGTCCACAGAATAAATCTGCCCCGTGGCCTATCTGAGGTTGGTTTGGTTTCCCTTACTTAGGCTTTGTGGTACTCGGCTAGAGAGATCTGTTGATTGGCCCTCGCCACAACGAATCACCACAGTGCTGCGAATGGGTACAGTACGAGTACAGTAGTATTCGGTGATGACACTGTTAATGCTTTGGTGGCTAATCGAACTGTCCGGGGAAGTGAAATTTTGTGCTCTTGTAGCAGTTATGTGAGATATTATTGCCTTCTTGCTGGTGTATTTTGGTTTATCTCAGATTAAATGTGGTCTGGGCTTTGGGGCGGTTCTGCTCAGGCCATGGCACTGTACACTTCGACTCCAGAGAGCAACCCGGGTTCAAGCACCGCATGTTCGTTGGATTTAATAGTACAGTACCACCACCAAAATTGATACAAAGCTACAGGTATCGTCACAGTGGAATCGATATCGGGTGCCATAGCTAGTCGTTGGGGTACAATACGGGATCACAAGACACGGCAGTCTACTAGTAGGTGTCACTTCGTATGATATGTTCTCAAGCACTTGAACTGTGCGGTGGGAGGAATAAGTCGTTTACCAACCTAAAATTTCCTGAAACCATCGCAGATCCTCTTGAAAGATTATCCGCCAGGTCGCCCACAGTCAAGATTTATGACCTTCCTATTATTTTTAAATACCCGCATAAATATTTGCATGCAAGCTGCTCTGTGAAAAAGGGGACCCACATCAATGACATCCGCTGTTGTGATCGCTCGGTAAAGGTTCATCGTATTGCCTTATAAAATTGGTGCTTAAGGATATCATACTAGGATAGTAAGACTTGAACCCACACTACGGTAGTGTGGTTTAGATTCCCAAATGTGCTAGGGTTGTTTCAAAGACAACGTGTTCCACGCTATAGAGGGCGAGCCATATGCGGGTTCGATTGAGGCGATCGGTCGAATTTCGTTCAAGATATCGGCGACGATTCGTATCTGAGTGGATGGCTTGCTAGTCAATAGGGAAAACATGGGATAGCACATCCAAGTTTAGGAGGCGTGTCTGTTGAATACGATATGACCCACTATCCTCTCTTGAACAAGCAAAGGACTCCAGAGACATTGTTATTGGTGATTGTGGCAAAGGTGCTTGTGGGAGCGACTAGGGAGTCGACGAGGAATAGGAAAGCTTCCCAGTGTGCATCCGAGGCGTTCTGCCCAGAGGTCGAAAATGCATTTTTCGAGTGACATGTTTCGAGAGGTCTACCACATTTTTTTGCGAAAGCAAGATCTGAACTGCAATGAGTGCCCGAGCAGGGTATTTCTGCCCACGATCCTGGATGCTGCGGTGATTTGGGGCAGATTGGGTCCCGAGCTGTCTCCGGCTTGGGGTGGTGGGATTAATTCACATCCTATCCCCGCGCTAGATCTCATTTTCATGCTCGGCATATCTTGTTATCATACTCCGAAAACAGATGTTACCCTGCATTCAATCACTTGCCCTTATCGATAAGCATTTGCCCCTCCATCCTCAAAAAATTTCTCCTTGCAGAACAAACAAAAGCTCCGCCACCACCAACGACGATCCACCATTTATTTTTGTTACGAACCATCTTCGATCCCCCTAACTCCGCAAATCCTAATGGCAGGTTCCTTGTTGGCTGGTTCCCCAGTTCTAATTCTCTACGCCTCTGAATTGGGGACTGCCGCCGATTTAGCCAAGGAGGTTGCCCATACTCTCCTTCGTCGTCGACTCAATGTTAAGTGCATGGAAGCAAACGAGCTCGACCCGTTCACTTCTTTGCCCATCTACAAGACCATAATTTTCCTTGCCTCTACTACTGGTCAAGGTGAGATTCCAATGAATGGAAAAGACTTTTGGAGGAAGTTCCTAGTGAAACGTATTCCACGGGATTGGCTTAAAGGTGTCGAGTTCACGACATTTGGTTGTGGCGATAGTACATATCTGAAGTACAATGCGGCTGCGAGGAAAATTCATGGTAGATTTTTACAGCTCGGCGCTACACAAATGGTCGCAAGAGGCGAAGGCGATGAGCAGCATAGTGAGGGGTGAGTTGTTGGCATAATCTCGAGCTCGAATAACAATCGCTAATGTATCCTAGGATTGATGGCTCGTTTTTCCCATGGTTGGAGATGCTTGTCGACACTTTATCCATGAAATACCCTCTCCCAGACGGGGTCGAGCCTCTGCCTGCGGACCACTTGCTGGAGCCCGAACACTTTGTGACTCTCACAAGCCACCGCAAGGTCACTTATCTAGTTCGAGATGTCATGAAAGACCTCCACGTCCAGCGTCCAGCCTCTAGAACGTGTCTTATTGTTAGAAACAAGCGGGTTACGGCAGAATCGCACTGGCAGGATGTAAGACACATCACTATTAGCGTACCGGGATCTAGCGTAAGATGGGCACCTGGAGACACGGTGACTCTTCTACCAAAGAATTTTCCTGAAGACGTAGAAGAATTTTTGGTCTGTCAGGGGCTCATTGATGTTGCCGACCACCCATTGGGTTTTATGAGGATACCCAATCCAGCGGTTGAGTCTCCGCTCCCAGGGAGGCTTGTTCAGCCGTTAACCCTGCGCACCCTACTAACACACCACTTGGACCTCACTTCGATTCCTCGCCGTGCCTTCTTCGGTATGATCGCCAACTTTACTGACAATAAAGTTCATAAAGAGCGTATTCTGGAGTTTACCAATCCCGAATACCTCGACGAACTTTACGACTATACGACTCGGCCCCGCCGAAGCATACTTGAGGTTTTACAGGAATTTTCCAGTGTTAAAATTCCAATCAATCGCCTCATAGACGTCATTCCGGTAATGCGCGCACGCGCTTTCTCGGTCGCAAGCAGTAATACCGGTCACTCGCCGGGTTCGTTTGATGAAAAAATTGATCTAGAGATTCTGGTTGCGATTGTGAAATATAAGACCATTATCAAGAAGACCCGTCAAGGTGTTTGCACTAGATGGCTTGCTTCTCTCAAAGAAGGCGATCCCATCAGTGTGGTCTTTCAACACGGCACTTTGGTCCCCCATTCCACCACGGAATTGTACAACAAACCGACTGTAATGATCGCCCCAGGCACCGGGGTCGCCCCCATGCGTGCGCTTCTACGGGAACGCATTTTTGACAAGGGTCATTATCTCAAGAATACTCTGATATTCGGCTGCCGCGGGAAGGACACTGACTTCTTCTTTCAGGAGGAGTGGGTCGAGTTGGTTCGCAGGGATTTCCTCAGGTTGAATACTGCCTTCTCTCGGGACCAGCCGGCCAAAAGATACGTTCAGCATGTTATCCTAGAACAAGCGGGACATCTCTGGGAGAGGATTTTTAAGCAAGGTGCTGTAGTCTATGTTTGTGGGAGCTCTGGAAATATGCCAATCGCCGTTCGAGAGGCACTCATCAAGGTCTTCCAGGAGAAGGGTGAATGGGAGAAGGAGGTGGCTGTCGCCTATCTCGCTCACATGGAGAAGGAGGGGAGGTTCAGACAAGAAACATGGTAATGGTGTTTGCTTTCTCTTCTTGTAATTTTCTCGCTGCTTAGATGTCGATGGGCCATCTAGACTAGATTTTGCGGTTAATTGGGGCGTATTTGATGCGACAGGCTTCCTTTCTGTCGATTTGTTTTCTTCGTAGGTCTGTTTGTGTTTTATCATGGTTGTTGATAGGCGTTTCTTGCACGGATACCGGGTTTTTTTTGTTTCTCTTTAGCTTAGCATCTGACCGCCCACTCTAAATTGAATACGCTCGAGGATACCGACCCCTTTGTTCTTCAATATTTCACCATTCCCGCAAGCTATGATACTACCTACGTCATAGTACCTCATTCCATCATTCGATGTCAGATACTAAAGTTTTCAAGCGCACTGCACAAACCATTACCAAAGAAGGATCGCATATCGACGGCTGTAGGAAAGGAAGGAGAAGGCGGGTCAAGGGCGCACATATCAGGTGGGGAAGTGGGCCAGAGGCGGAAGTAAATGGCTGTGTCATGTGAGTATTGTGTTCAAGTTTCCGATGCAGAATTTCCAACACCAAACCTACGGATCTGTCTTAGAAACAAAAAAAAAAGTCAAACCTAACATTTGTGCTTTCAGGGACACCTCTCCCTTGTATTGGAAGTCAATTGAGATTTTCAGATTTACACCTTCTTGATGCGTTTTAACTCATTTCTGGTCCCGATATGTTACCAAAGGAACTTGAAGTTTTCGAGACCTACGAGGGGTTTGGTATACGACTACAGGTACTCGGGTACCGTACTGGTATCATGGCAGAGTCGACAAAATCAAAGGAGTATCATACTCGTACATCATCCCCAAACAAGTGACTAAGTCAAATGGTCTAGACAGCAACCCCTGCCCACCATGCAATTCCATCCCAGCAAGCCACTCCAGCTTATCCATCGATCCATTCCTCCCTCCCGCTCCCCCCCACCATCCCGATTCTATCTCTTATCTTTTCACCCAATCCCTAACTTATACAGTAGCACCTCTACCCACCATCAGCCCCACCCCTGCAATGCCAATCATTAGAACGGCTGCTAAACTCATCTTTGGCACAACTGCCGCTTCCGCCGGTGGGATCTACCTCCTAACCCTTGACGCACACTTCGTTCCCTACACCCCAACAACCGATATCTCGCTCCGCAAAGCCCTAAAACTATACAACCCGCATAACAACACTCCCATCCTCGCCGACCACGCGGTACAGCGGGTTCCCCTCTCACGCCTGTTCACAACTGACAGCGAGGCCCTGATTCGAAAGTTTTGCTCGGGCGTGTGGGCGGGCCGCGGCTACATGTGTCAGCGGAAAATCTTAGAGATGAAGTATAGACATTTGGAAGGGAGGGAGGGGATGCTCTGGGATAAGGCGGAGTTGGAAAATGCGGAGTATGGGGTTGGGAGCATTATCACGGATTATTTCGAGGTTGTGGAGAGAGGAAATGATAAGGTATAATACCCCCCCCCCCCAGTTCGCAATGTCTCCTGGATATTGTTCGGTATTGACTCAATGTCTGTGTAGGTTATTATTAGAGGTGGTGACTCGCCGCTCGTCCACGGTAACAAGAGTAATGATGGGTTGTTCCTGCTGGAGGTTACCAAGGATGAGGGGTTCGTCAATTTTCATATAAAGAGCATATTCTTCGATTCCACGGCTCAAGGGGATAAAGCCAAGAAGTTTCCCGGGTGGCTACGCTTTGCTCATACAGTGTATGTCAGGCTACTTATGAGGTCGGGGGTTGGGGCTGTTGAGGGGAGTAGGTAGGTTGAATGGGGTGGGCTAAGGCTTATTTTCCTGAATGAACCGGAATGAACAGTATACCAGAAGTGCTCTCAGCAGGGGGTCCCGTGGGATGTATGTATGTCGGCGCTTCACACTTGATAAAAAATCCCGGAGAAAATTGTGTATTTGTTCGCGCTGTATTCTCGGAGCTGGGTAGTGCTCTGGCTTTGGGCGTCCCCTTTGCAGCACCCAAAGTAGGTGATTCTCTCTTCGCCTTGAGCTCATATAGTGGTGGTACAAAGAGGCCATCGGCAAGGCACCCCTCCTATCACATCACCGGAAACCCCATTCCGGGTAAAATAATAATATAAAATACACACCCCGAACACCAAGGTAAAGAAAAGAAGCATCATTAAGGAGCATATATCATACCATGACGACCGGTGAAGGGAAACGTATTCCTCAAGCAGAAAACCTTGCCCAGGTTATCCAATAGGATAAGCACGATTCCTCAAAAATTCTGGAAGAAAGGATATTCTTTAGAGTGTGTTGCGTTCTCCGCAGTGATAGCCTTTTGGCACAAAGATACCCGGTGTGACTTGCTGGTGCTCTGGCAGCTGGCACATTCTCGAGTGAGAATGCATGAATAAAAAAACCCTAGCAGATCCTGGTTCTTTTTTTTTTTTTTTTGCTGTAAGAGGATGATAGCATTCCCGTGAGAGAAAGTACGTGGTTTCTAGGATCTATATCAGACTCACTGGCGCCGGCGCGATACTTGGCTAATTTAGTTACCGATTTCAGACAACAGTGGACGTTGCTATGCTGCGAAGTATAGGGAATTAACTCCTTCATGACTTGTTTATGCATGACACGCGTTTCGCTGTGGGGAGGTTCCTAGGTAATAATCGCTTGTGGTACCAGAAATAGAGAAAGGAAAAAAAAAGGAAGGAACCACAATCAAACATTCAGATACAATTTTACAATTCCCAATACATCACCCACACCCAAACCCAGCCCCTCTTAAAAACGCCATCAATTCCAATTATTTGATAAAAGAAAACAAAATTAAAAAATTACACAATTGATATCATTAAAGTCTCAAGTGCATCTACTCCGTCTTCGGTTTATCACCACCTGCTCTCCCTCTCTTCGCTGCAAACGCCATTATGTGGCCACGAATCTTGGATACTAGGCCGCCGCCGATGACCTCATCCGCGCCGACAAACCTCCTAACAAGAATGTTAAATATGGAGCCGAAGGCAAGGGCCATGACTGTGCTTGTGAGGATGATGACGTTGTAGGGCATGGAAAAGTCTGGTGTTGGGAGGGAGAGGAGCAGGGAAGTTGTTCTGATTGAGAATGTAGACTTTTGGGAAGCCGGGTCGAGGATGGAGATTACTGCGGGGCTATGATGGTGTTAGTGTGGCAATAACACGTGGTTAGAGTAACGTACGCAATATCAAATCCACGGTTGGCGTCTGGGGGGTATTCTGTGTATCTCAAGACAGCCTTATCAAATTCGTAGTTCAAGAGAACAGTTTCTCCTGGTGGGACCCGTAGTCTGACTTCTAGTTGTGTCCCGCGTTTTCTGTCTAGAGCGGGGCGGTAATAGATGTCTTGGATGATGTTTCTATCGTCTTTTCCGGAAATAGTCGCGGAGAGGGTGTGTAGGTATGGCTTCATGAACCACGGGAGTGACTCAAGATATACGAACTCAACGGTGGAGTTTGAGGAGGGGTTGTTTAGGACCGCTTGGATACCTCCACGTTCCTGCCCATGCCCAGTTAGGGAGCGGGAGGCATAAACGGGAGGAGTAGTTGGCAGGAGATTGGTAGAGGGGCTAAGCTCCGGAAGGACTATGTCGAAATCAATATTTTCTATGCCAAAGTTAGGATCTTTACTTCCGACAAGATATAAATATGGTTACCATGAAGAATAAAACACCTCAACTCGGGTGACTTCTTTCTCTCCTCTGAGCCCTGAGAAACGAAGATGGACCGCTGTTCAGCGATATTGACGCAAACATGAGTTGCCTCTTCGGTAGGAACAACAGCCAACGGGCACGAACCGCGGATCGGGCGACCGAACATTTCAGATAGCGACCAAGGGAGGTCAGTAACCCCGGAAAGGGGAAAACAAGAATCACCGCCGGCGTAAGGCTTCTCCTGATCGCATGAGAGTTGCTCGATTGGCGGGGGTTTGGGTACTGGAGAGTCCTTCTTTCCCAGTGACCGTTCAACATCGAGCACCATATCCACCGTTTGCTCCATCTGTAATTGGCATTTACCATCCTCCTCACAAACAGGCTTTACGTCGATGCTCATACTTTGCCACTGGGCATCGAATAGCCTATGACCATCCAACAAGCTCGAGATACCAGCCTTGCCCTTACAAGGCAACAGTTTCAAGAAGGGCGTCAAATTTTCCGTACATACCGGCTCTCGTGGAAGGGTTCCATGAAGCAAGTGCAGTCTCTCCAATCCCTCTGGGGAATGATGTCCGGCTGGTTGGAACGACATAACAGGTCTAATAGTCCTCGTAGAATCAATAAAATTAAGCGAAGCACAAAACAGTCCCGAAAGCGCATTATTGAGCGTAGTCCATCTCGCATCCGCCCTGTCATCACGAGGGGTTAACAGAAATTCCAAATCACGGCGAAGAGCAAACAAACTCAGCATCATCCGCAGCGTCTACCCACGCCCATAGCTCCACACCCGTGCCCCCTGCAGTCCGCCCATCCCACACCTGTCTGCCCCATTGCTCAGCGTCCCACCTACCCAACGTAAACTTCAAGTGTAGCTCTTTCGTTTGGCTCTGTTGTAGGATCTGTGCAAGCGAGCGCGGAAATACCGAATGGTGACTGTCGAATGTCCCATTACTGACAAAGCGGAAGGATGCCAGTCTGTGGCTCCATTACGATCAGTTCTAGCCACGGGAAGGATAAAATAGAGAGAAAGAAGAAAGAAACTCACAGGGAGTTTCCCGGAAGAGACTTGAGGAGTAGATTCTCGCTGTAGTCATTATACTCGCTGGCGCTGGCAATAACCAATGGGGCGAGCAACAATTGAGTAACTGAAGGCCATGACAATAACCGCATATTTATAAGAAGCGAAAGGGCAAAGAAGAAGAGAAGGAGAGAATTAGGTGAAAAGGGAGAAGCGAAGGAGTTGTTAAGCTCTGCGGCTCCAGCGAGAATGTTCGTCGTAGCTTACTTGGAAGCTCCAATGAATTGTGGTCACATCGAGGCCGGGTAACTTAACAGACCCCTTTTCTCATTCATCAGTGATACTGGTTGGTCCCCTGAGCGGTGCCTGGCGGGAACCCGGATCGCAGCTTGGGCAATTGGCACCTGGCGCTATGGGGTCACTTCCTCCTTCCCCAGGCTGAACTGTCAAATCGTCGGCAATTCAAACCTCACGGTAAAGCAACCACCAACGGAAGAATTCAGACAGCTATATAGCGCTGGCCATCACACGCTCGTTACTTCTCAAATTCTTAATTACGACTAGACTTTTATCCAATCTTTACCTCCCCCACCTAGATGAAGCTCGGGCACAACTCACATCATGGCCAGTAAACAAGTTCAGTGGCCCCAACGGCTTGCCAGCTTCCCAACTTTAATATGGCCACACTTAACTATGGTTAATCTCCTTCGTCTGGTCTGGCTCAGCACTGTCTATTACGACGAACGTCAAGTGTATAAGTCCGCAATGGCAGCCTGTTATTGGAATAATTGGGAGAACTGGGTTTGCCCCTCACCTCGCTCCCCCGGTTGTTTAGCCGTAAAACTAATCGCGCTAGGGACCGGAAACTGTCCCCCACCGAATAGTTCTAGTTGCCGACCCGCAGATAGTAGACCGACACACATACGCTCATCGAGGAATCGCTCTCTCCGCAGCTATATTCTACACTGACCTATACATGTCCCGCTCTTACGACAGTATCATCGATCACCTCAACCCCTCCACAGTTATTTTTCTCGGCGACCTCTTTGACGGGGGCCGGGAGTGGGGTTCGGATCAGATAGCGCATCGCCACACCGATGCCCCAATTCCCGACGACCCAGTGGGATTCCCCGATTGGAAAGAGCTTACCGATGATTATTGGTTATCCGAGTACGCTCGGTTCTCCAAAGTGTTCCCTTCTACTCCGTACCGGAGAACTGTGCAGTCTTTGCCGGGAAACCACGATATCGGGGTAGGCAATGGCATCAAGGAGAGCGTCCTGGAGCGATTTCGGCTATTCTTCGGAGAAGGAAACAGTCTTTTAGCTCTCGGAAACCACTCGATTATACTGCTAGACACCCCATCACTTTTGAATGATGTCAATCCAAGGATCCACAACCCACCCCGAGACTTCCTAGACTCCCTCCCAGACCTCCTCTCCCCCAACCCCCCCCTTCCGCCACACATAATCCAAAATTCCTCAATTCCCGCATCCCCATCTCCCGAACAAACCAACCTAAACCCCGTAATCCTCCTTTCGCATATCCCCCTCCACCGACCAGCAGACACCCCTTGTGGCCCTCGCCGCCAATCCCAGAAGCCAATCCGCATCGGCGGCGGATACCAGTACACCAATACTCTCCCAGAACTCCTCTCACAAGAGATCCTACACAAAACTGGTGCAAAGCATGTATTCTCTGGTGACGACCACGACTCATGCACCGTCGCCCATGAATACGACGACGGAAAGCAGAAGGCGGAGGAAGTGACTGTTAGAACGTTCGCTTGGACAATGGGTGTGCGCCAGCCGGGGTTCTTAATGGTTAGCTTGTTGAATGATGGATTAAGGGATGGGAAGGAAACGGTGCTGGTTCACGAGTGCCTGCTGCCGGACCAGATCGGGATTTATCTAGGGTATGTCGAGTTAGTTGTCCACACTTTAGTCATTGTGCTTTTGAATATGGTCCGGAGGAGGGGCGGAGTCTGGTGGTGGTGCCGTTGTTTGAGACCGAGAGGAGGCGAGGGAGAGGATAAGGGGAAACGAGAGGGATTGTTGGGAATTGTCCAGAGTGAGAGGGGTGCCGGGATGGAAGGGGGTGTGGGGAAGAAACAGAATAGGGAGTGCTGCAGGGAGTTTTTTGGGGATCTAAGGGACTTGGTGATTGTGGTTGTCCCGTTTTATTTGGCTTTGCTGGTGTTATGGTAGATAATAGACTATAGGGGGGGAATGGGAGGTTCAACAGCGGACTCCGGTTGCTATTCAACGCTCTTAGGATTTGTATTTCGCTTCTTCTTCCAGTTAATATCTGCAATACCCATATTCTTCAATGCTCCTTTCGTTCCAGATCAGCTCAGTCAGACATTCGCCTAATCCTAAAGCTAGACTTTTCCAGCTGAGAAGGATATTGCAACATCAGATATCACCCGATTTCTGGTTCCACAAAAACGTGGAAGCTGGTTTCCGGTGCCGTACGAGTGCCACACTATTACGAGCACATCGTGCTACTGTAGATACCTCGGGTATTAGAACAAGTCGTCTGCGCGAATCTCGTGCTAGTCTATCTTCGTGGGTGAAGTCTGCCCAAGCGCTGCTTAGAGGGAGACGCGTGGAGCATGTGGTAAACACTTGATTTGGGACCTAGGAATTGACCTCAAAGCATGCCAACCTCGTCTCTATTAGCAAGGCCTCACCAGCGACCTCGATCGTCGGCGTTTACTCCCGTGGGCTTTAGCTCAGTGTAGTATTCTACAAGTTCAAGTGTTTTGCACGCGTAGGGTCTTATGAATCCCCTGGCGGTGTCCCCTCCCCTCCATCCCTCCACCCAGAGCCGGGGCGGGGACGAGGAAACCGCTATCGGATGACCAGACCACACACCCTCCAGACTCCCGCTCGTACGTACAAGAGTATATATGATGGACGAATGCGAAATTAAAGACAATACAATCTGTCATAGCCAAGTTTCCCGCCCGTTTACCCCTTATAATATCATGCATGAGAAATCAGTCGCATCGGCGGAGGAGGGCGGTCAGAATTCCTTCGTGGAGGCGGGAGAATACCAAGAAAACGCAGCCAAGATGATGAAGGCAAGTACCGGTAGATATGCATTAATACCAATACTTTATGCATTACTGCCATGAATGCCCCTGCGTATTAGTATGCAGTCTAACTGCAATGTCCGTCCGTCGGTTGTCGGTCCACACACAACGAGGCCCTCCTACTTTTACCGTGGTTGCTAGAGGAAGAATCTCGATCAGGCGCAGTAGGAGGCTGCGCTGATCCAGAGGGCACTAGTCTAAATTTACCATGAACTACAAGCACTCACGCATGGCCGCAAAGGGCGGAAAACTTGTGATGGCAAAGCAGGGGGTATATTGGTCGGTCAATAAATCTTGTGGAAAGAAAGATAGTATTGTGGAAGTCGGAAATCCAGACTAGTTGCATTGCTGCTTAAGTTACTTTCCTCCAGAGACAAGAATTGGGGGATTCTGAGGGGCTAAATTTACTCAGGGTTGCAATCCCTATGGGACTGGTCTGTACTGGGCCTAATTTCATGATTCTTACATTACTCGAGTACAGTACCCGAGCACAGTGCCGTACTGTACCGGTATGATAGAGCACCCTTCTCCCACTGGCAAGATAATTCACCTATCATATGATACCATAGTATCCACTCCGGGTTGCTCATGTCAACCGTGATTCGTTTTTTTTCCACTAATGGTGATTGTCTGCTCACTACCCCACAGGATCTTGCTGATCCTTTTCCCCTCCTTTATGACTATGCGTAGAGACTTTCGGCAGATCCTTTTTTTTTTGGTTCCGAAGTCGAGTTCGAAAAGTGATAGGCACGACTAGGGTAAATCTTCGAACATTGCCAAGTACTTGCTAGACGATAAGTAGATTACCGATATGTTAGCACTCGAGTAGTGTCACTTTGGCAACTTGTCCGGGGTGCCTTTGCAGTCATACCTACCAATTTTCGAGCTCGGATCGTGGACTGAAGATGGGGATCTGCGGTAAGTCTCTATCGAATCAATTTTGGTGTGTCGTGAGTCGAAGAACGGATTGGGGATTTTTGGGTTGTCCCCTAGCGTATGGGAGAGTTGGGGACGCTGTACGGAAGTTTTTCTAGCACGGAACCTGAGGACTTGGCCTCTTTTCGTTGTCTTTGTGTTGTTAGCCCCACCACCCGCAGCGGAGAATGGGAGGTGCATGGCCGGGGGTCATGTCATCGCACAGCGGGGCATCTGGGAAAAGGGTCTTGCAGGCGGGGAACGGCTTGGAGGTGGTGGGGACGACTTTGCACTCCAAATCTACGAGTATATTTCTAAATTATGCTTTATGGCACAATCCTCAAGTAGGGTGCATAAAGATTACCTGCACATGCATGCCATACTTGCGTCCAGTCTAGGTACAAGTAGCCTAGAAAGAATTACTCCTCCCTTAAGGAGGGTACCGGTATCCGGAGATGGAGAAACCGCCTGGGCGCTAAGGGGCTTGCAGAATCCAGTATAGTAAGATGTAATTGTGACATAAGGTGCCACTAGGCCCTCTTGAAGCAGCAGAGAATCGACCACCCTATCCGGTATGGCAAGCCGTGCTGGCGCCAAGGTGGTTTGCTACATTACGGATTAGGGACTCAGGAGGGGAACTCCGGGCACCATTCCAGTACTTGTTCGAGTACTCGAGTAGGCTATACTCGTACATATGATGCTCACATCCTATCGCTTATGGGGGTAGCTCTTGAGTGTAGAATTGGAGATCGCCTATCAGGAGATAGTCTAACTTAAATTATGTGATAGGCTGAGGTAAGTTACTCGTAGAGGGATGGAGCAGCTGGCAGGCAGGTTGGCCGGCTGCTACTCGAGTATGTGGGGCTAACTTTTTTCTTTGGTACTCGAGTACCCAGTTACATCACCCCGCTTGGCATCTCTTACCCTACACGTTTATGTATTGGCCCGCCGATCACCACTCTCCATGAGGGCATCCGGCTTCAATTCTCCCTGAGTAATTTACAGACGGAGATCTGATAGATGTCAACGTCATAAGTTAGGTGGCCTCAAAGGTACTGGCGGCTTGGGTATTATAGAGTACAGTACGAGTAGACTTCAAAGCACCTCCCAACTTAACTTGGCGGGGAATAAGGCACGATACCGGTATCCCATGGTAACTTTAAATCTGGATAGCAGGGCATTCAGGTTAAGAGCCTCACCTAGATTAGAAGTGGCGCGGGAGACAGGGAGCATGATCAAGCGCGGAGATCACATGAGTGAATAGGGACGGCCTTCCCATGAATCTCCATGTCGAGAAAAAAAGGGGAAAGCACATTTCCAGTAATCAGATCACAATGTCGATTTGAAGTCAGGATAGTATCTATCGTAACTTCAGCAAATGATACACTAGTGTACGGTACAATAGTACTCGAGTACTGTACCGGTACTCTGACATGCTCGCAACCATTTAAATCTTTGTGTCTGGGAGGGTTGGGCCGTGACGTCTGTGAATGAATGACGTCTAAAAGTATGATACGAATTAGCGGGTATCCACAGGGATAGGGAGCGTTCGGTGGGCATTCTCGCTGGAGAGCCCAGTTATCATACTCGAGTAATTGTCTGCGGTGTCGGACTCCATCGTTTTTTTTTTTTGCAAATTCTCGGCTCCCCCCGAAAACTGACCCTCAGGTAAGTGAGCCCGCTCCAAACGGGGCAGACGAAGAATTGATGGATGCCGTCCTGGAATCATTATCATACTAAGGATAACTTGACAGTACAAGTGACAAACCAACCGAACGCGTGGTCGATAAAGGGGAGGGGGGAAAGTATCAACTCCCCACCTTGTTAAATATCCAACTACGCCTCTTTCACCTCTAATCCTCACAACCGTTGCTGCGAATTGACCCGAACGAAATAATGAGCTCTGACAAAGGGTTGCTACCAACTGGGCATCCTTACATTCCTCCTTCTACTGATATTCCCGCTTCAAACACGAGTGCCCTTAGCGGAGTTCCCGCCACCGGTCCCCCCGAATTTGCTGCATCTATCAAGAGTGATCCGGCTGAGGGGGACGATGAACTCACTTTGCTTCCGGATGCACAGGCTACAGGTCGGTCTGCGGGGTCCAGGAGACCCTTTCAGCGGCGACGGCGGAGTCGGGCTTGTGATGCCTGCCGTACTCGGAAAACAAAGGTAAGAAATTAGGTATTTTGCTCTTCTTGCTGATGTTGCCTAGGGCTTGGTTGGGTTTTGCTATTCTTTGTTCCGCATGTTGGAAAGAAGAGCTATATGCCGTTCGGAGAAATTGGGTAACGCTAATACTACAGTATATAGTGTGATACTCCGGATGAGGGCCCATGCTCTGCCTGCGCTGCGGCTAGCTTAATGTGTAAATTCTCTGAGGGTGAGGACAAACGTCGTGCCGGGCCGGCGAGGTATGCTTTTGGAAACCCGTGATCACCTTCAAGGGCTTCACTTACCGTTTAGGATTAATTCAAGACGTGTACGGATGCTCGAGCACACCATTGCAGACCTCACTCAGAAACTTGCCGAGGCCGAAGAAAAGCTACATCGAACCACCATATCCGGGTTTTCGCCCATCAATGCTGGAGATCTTCAATCTCCAACAGCCGAAACTGACGTATCAGGGGGGTTACAGTCGTCGGATTCTCCGAGTCATGCATCACCTGTCAGCCCTAAATTTCCATCACAACACCCCATGCCCATGCCAAACATGACTTATTCTGGGAGAAGCCATCTCCCGGTCCGGAGCGGTGGACCTGGTGTACTGCCAACTGGCGGTACACCTAGTGGGTTGCCAATTGGCGGTGGCCACGGAAAGGATAAAGGAAGATTTCAATCTGACGGTACTGCATGGGATGACCACATTTTCGGTCCAAGTTCTGGTCCGTCCTTTTTGAATTCCTATACAGAATATGTTTCCCGTCTTGGATTCCGCCCACCTTCTTCCAGGGATCCTCATGATTCTGTTGGAGCGGCTGGGGAGAGTCTCTCCTCAGATGCCTCGTCGGTTGGCCGGAATATTATCGGCGCACTCCCGGTTCGGCTTGCGCCGGTTGACATCCGTGCCTTTCTTCCCCCATTACCCCTAGCTACCGAGCTTTTAGAAGTCTTTCGGAAGAATATCCAGGAATGCACGGTGATATTCTATTGGCCGACGATAGAAGCGAAGTTCAAAAGAGCTTGGGACGCGCCTATATGGGACTCAGATTCTGAAGCCGTAAGGAGTGTTTTCTGTGTGATCGTTATGATTACGGCAGTGGCAAGTCAGCTCGTCGACCCGAGTCGGTTGCGGAATCCTGACGGCGGTGATTGGTCAACTGATAATGAAAGGTGGGATATGTATTCACTCTTACCTTTTCCCTTTGGAAATGTATTGGATTCCAAGATGACATGTACCACCGCGCTGATATTCTTTTTAGGAACGGGTGGATCTTCTTTGAGCTTGGAAAGAAATATTCCAATCCAAATAACCCGAGCTACTCGATCGATGATGCTATTTGTTCGTAACAGCTGCATTCTCGCCAATTGTTGTTTATCTTTTGGGAATTCCCTTTCTAACGACACCTCTATACCCAGATCTTCTCTTGATGGCGTTTTACCTTGACAAAGCCTTTCTTCCCTCTCCTTGTTGGATGGTAACGGGATCTATGGCTCGCGTGTGCCAGGACATAGGCTTGTACCGCCGTGCACCTGCTGGGATGTTCAGCGGTATAGACGTAGAATCCCGGACCCGACTTTTCTGGGCTGCCTATATCCAGGACCGTAAGATATCCATGAAGCAAGGGCGTCCAGTAATATTTCTGGATAGGCACATAGATGTGGGGTTGCCAGGCGGGCACGTGGGGACTGGTGTCGGATCTGGTGGGGGGGAGGACCTGGAAGCTGCGAAAAAGTCTTTACAAGTTTTTCGGGCTACCATTGGTGTTGCCCAAACTTCAGAGTCTTTGCTGAATATCAACCTGAGACACGATGGAGAAGCAGAAGATGTCCAGCTGCTGCGAAGCGTGGACGAGATGTTGAAGAGGTCATGGGAAGCTTATCCGCCAGACCTGACTGACTTGTCGGAGAGTGGCCCCATCGATCTGCCCGCTTTAAGACGTGAGTCGTGACTTCAGCCCTATGGGATGTGGGATAAAATCGCATGAGCTCTCCCCAACATCACCTTATCCTTGTCGATGCACTACATCTTTTCCTTTCCTAGGGCCCTGAACAGCATACTGATTTATCAGCTAGCGTTATTCCATCTTCAACACTCCAGGATCGTTCTCTACCGTTATTTTACCGACTTTAGCGAGACATTGTCGCTCACCAACAACTTTAGAACGTTTTGCTTGTGCCAATCTATCCAGGTATCGAAAATCACGGCTCATCTGCTCTTGAGGGCCTCTAAAGACCCTGACTTTGATGTGGCTTTTGGCCTCGGCTCCGAGGAGCTTGTGCGCATCCATACATTTCGTGTCGCAACGATCTTGTTGCTAGGATATTATTGCAAGGACCGCAATCTGCCAGGTGTCTCCAAGGAAGAGGTCGATATATGCGCAAGTGCCCTTACATCGGTTGCAAAGACCAATCGCCAGGCAGGGGAGAAACTCCTGGGGTTGTTTAAAGACTTTGCTCTCATGTTTGGGTATTCGGTGGCGCCAAGTCTTGCTAGCGGTTCCGCTTTAACGGCTGTTAAGGAAGGTTCCGAGGTATCACCGCCCGCTGCCAGTTCTTGGTGCTCTGAACCCTCACAAAATACGCTACAGCCTTCTTCGTCGCTACCCTTACCACGTTTCGGGGGTGGGTTCAACGTTTACCCATCAACGCCACCAGAGGCGTCAGCCCAGGAAGCTTCAGCATCAGAGTTTCCAACCCATGCCCCTCCTAGTTCCGGCGCCGCGCACCCACACTGGCTTCATGCAACGACGGGTGCCATATTGTTACCTGTCGCTGGCAGCGGCGGCGGCGCTAGTGGGGAGAGTTCAGGGGGCATTTTTATCCATCCAGAGATTGGGACTGGATCTGCAGCTGCTGGTGCTGCTGGCGCTTTGGCAGGCAGCTCGTTGGGCGCCGAAGGCCGGATTGATTGGGGCGCGTACCAGCAAATGATGCAGTTTGATCCAGGGTTCGCAGCGTACATGTTAGGTCCCAATGATAGGGATTTTCATTGATACGTTTGGGTTACCTGCTTGCTTTCTTTCTCTCCTAGTCGTGGGGGACCTAGAAGGTTATTGAAGTCTAGTATATGTGGGAATTGTCATTTCTCGGATTGCCGCCCGATAATGGTGCTGGGATGGGCTTTTCCGACGGTTTGTGGTTTTTTTTTTTTGATATTGAGAGGGTTGGTGGGGGTCGCTTATGATAGATTAAACTTGAATAATATTGGGTTGAGATACTTCTCATGTCCTGGGATGATGGGGTGTCATTGGTATTGTTTTGTATTTAGTGTGGTACTGTACACGCACCGGACCGTACTACGCATTCTATACAAGTAGACTGGAGGAGGAAGAGGTTTCGCCCCTGGTTATCACATCTGTACCGTTGTGAAGAACACGAACCTGCATATCCTATATGTCATAACTTGTACAGCACCCGAGCCCAAGCATACTATGATAAAGCGGTATAATAATAGTATGAATGTAAACGCACCAGTACTGGCACATTAGTACTTCCAACTCTCTCAGCAATTGCTCATGGACGCCACGCATCCATTTTCGTTTCCATATAAATTTAGGGGTGGAGTACTGGTAGCAATCAAGGTGTATTCGATAATACGGTGGTGAGTTTGTATGGGCGCTCGGATATGCGGGGACTTCTTGACATTTAACCCCTGGCCAATTTCCCTGCCATCAAATACTTCTTGCCTGTAAAGAGTATTGGACAAGCGGAGGCACTTGAGAATGAGTTCTTGGTAAGAGTCAGCAAAGAATTGAATAAAACAGGAGAGCGAACTGGGGTATCTGATACGTGATCAAACTGTCTTTGAAAATATTGATATATCTTTTCAAGTTCTTTTGTGAAGAAGGAAAAAAATAAAATAAAATAAGAAACAAGTGAATAAAAAAAAGTGAAGCATATAATAATATTATGATACTGAGATTTTGCCGTAAGAAGCTGATTTGAGCTATAGTAACTAGTAAACCTACTTTTAAGTGGCATGGGACGGGACACCGGGGGTATCGTATAAATGAAGCATTGAAATATACTGGTGATAGCTGGTTATTGGTGGGATTGCAGATAGCCTTTAGATATCAAAGATGAAAGCTCAGATGTACAATACTTGCGGTACTAAACTAGTCTTAAGATGTAGTACATCATAGCAAAACTTTTAGTGGAAAATAAAGAAGTGCTGGGGTGCCTATGGGGCATGCGGTTGGGCTGATATGGGTTGTGTGGGGGGATATATGGTTTCGGTTGATTTTTGTTGCCATTGCGCAACATGTATCGGGCAATGGATTTTATGGTGTTCCCTTCACACCATATGCCAGTGGTAGTTGGCGTAGGATAGGCTCCAGGATTTGTGCAAGATCATCGGATATTAGGGTGGTTTTAGATTGTCGAAGATTGCGGAGGATCTTGATTTGGCGGCTTGGTGTGTTTCTTGAGAGTTTGTTGAGTTTCCTTGAGATTCCGGAGTTAGGGATATATATACGGTATCTCCTAGCATACCCTTAGCTAGCGTGAGCAGTAGCGCATCCTTCTTCCATGTTCCTCCTCCCATATTTTCCCTCGTCTTCTTTCACCGAGAACTTAGTCCTGCTTCTGTGTTGGTGGGTTGTTTCTTCAAGAGGTGCTAGTAGTAGATATTTGAAAATTAGGTATTTCTTCACTATAGTCACCAGTATATCAGACTTTGAGTATGTAAAATCGTTTCAATATCCTGGCTACAGTAAAATAAAGAAGGGGTAAGAGGAATGACGTATATATTACAAGTCTACGGGAACTGGAGAATTTGCTATAATATTTAGAAAACTGTATTACAGGAGTACCATATAATATAATATTATAGCATATTTAGAGAGGTATTACTCATTTTTATTTAACAAGCTTCTTTATACTTTTTAAAATATGAATTGATAAGAACAGTCTTAATAATAGCTTCTTAATAATTATCTTAAAAATATGTACACATTGTAAAATTTAATAATGCTCATTATAGGGTCCTACTACTATTCCTTGCTCAACTTTATCCACTAACTTAGAGCTGGATTTCTTTTCTACCCTCTACTTCTCCCCCCCTCCATCTGACATCCTACCCTGTTCATAGGCCTAAATGAGCTCCTGTTATGCAATTATTCTACATAAAATCATAGGCATATCCCTTAGGTGGTCTGAAACAGTAAAATTTGTAGCCGGGTACACCAATCTGAAAAGAATTCCCAAATGTAATACTTGGTACTTATAAAGCATACACATGATAACAAAATAAAGCAATACTTTGGATCTTAATAAAATGTTATCGAAAACACTGTTTGATTAGCTTCTCTGGAAGCTGAATTAAAGGTAAACTCAGGAAGGCAAAAATCAAGCAAAAAGAAAACAGTAATAGTTGCTTGCTGTAGTGCTATCTGGCCAATATAGGAATATTTGCCATAAACTAACTGGATAGAAATGATAGCTTGTCATTTAATCCAAAGTACTAAAGAGAAACTAAAATCAAGAATAGACAAAATCTATAAAGTAAGACTTTTGTATCTGCTATTATAGCAGCATAAACAATGTGAAAATCCACAGCCAAGTCATAAACAACCAAAGCATGTTAAAAATGCTTGAGCACCTTTTTGATTTATTCCATAAAGTGTAAACCAATATTGTCTGCAGGAAACTTTGGAGTTGCCACTCTGAAGAAACTGGTCCTCTGTTAGGGCTTCATGGGGAGAAGGAAGAAAGGTATTATGTTGTAATTTACTGTAATGGAGAGGTGTAGTGTTTCATATACAATACCTCTTTTGAGATGAACAGCCTTTCTGCCAATGCTGTTTAATACGTAATTCTGCAGGTATGAGGCAAAATAAACATAAGGTGTTGTTATACTAATATGGTGGAAATAGGTGGTAAGCAAGGATGAAGGAATTGATAATAGTTATATCAACAAATCAATGAAAAATAGGATGCCAGTAATGTAAACATTTGAGTTGAGTAAGGAGCCACTTAGTATTACACTTTTGCATGGTTACCAATCTTGGTCTGGTTGAAAACTGGACTGTGATGTAATCAATTTTAAGGTCCATGATTGGTCAGCTTACAAGCTTTATTGTTAAACCATGGTTGTTAACCACCCAAAACTGTAACACTAAATGGCTTCTAAAATAATAATAGGGGTACTGATCAGTGATGTCATCTCCAACCATATACCTATTCTAGTCACTAGTAATCACTGGAATAGGTATATTTGTATGCTCTTTAGGTCTAAAAACTTGGTGAATTACTGGTCCATTACTACTGAATTTTCTAGGCTTCTTACACTCGATAACAACACTTTGCTCAAGTGTAGGAATAGTTGTTAAAAAGTAAACTGGACAGCTATCCTGCTACTGAATACCCAGAACCTTTCCCTTAAGCCCAACCAGTCTACATGACAATTCATTCTATGGAATTGATTTTTGATTATCATGGAGCTTTAAAGAAAATGCTACAATATTTACCTGTGCTGTCCTACACTCACCAATATCCAGATTACTGAGTTTTATGAAAAGACCAAGAGAGGGGAAAATAATTATTTATATATATATATTGAAATAGAGTTTAGAACTATGTGGAAGGGAGGAGGCTAGCTATAAAACTATAGAACTAGTAAGAGTGAGATCTTCTTCGAAAACAATGCAGGTGGTTAAGCTTGTTCATGATACAAAAATCCAGCTATAAGTACAGCCAGTATCGCACAGTGCCAATGCCTTGTAACCATTAGTAATTGACTTACTTGGTATGTAGTATGTGTGATAGCTACTAATAAAAACAATAACTGTCTACAGTAGTAAATCAATGATAACTGTTACTAGTTGGTTATGGTCTACAATTACAGACTATTACTCGGCTGAAATAAAATGCCAAGGCAGCAGCCAAAAGAGGTTTATAAAGAATTTTCTATCTCCATTTCTCTTTCTAAAAACAAAAAGACAATACTCTCAAAGACTCTTAATGACTTGCTTGCTTAACTCCACTGATCTACAACTCTTCAACTCTAAATTAACTGGAAAAGACAGGAGTATACATAAATGACAGCAATTACCTATCCATCTTGTAATCTTGTAATTATTTCCATACCAAGGTCTCTAAAATCTCCCACACCTATCTCCCATCTCATCTGTGTACTCCTTAAGCTAATAAAAGAAAGAGTAATAGACTCTCTGAAGACTCTCCAATATTCTTCTGTGTTCTTGCTACCTTTTGCGCTTCAATTTACCTTCTGTGTCCCCTGCTACCTTCCATTCTCCCACTCCCTTCCATGCTTCTTCTGCTAACAAAAGAGAACATAGAAACAAATACTTCTAACTGACTATAATTCTGTTGACTTTTATCTCCTTAACTGCTAGAAGTGCTTCTCTGTTAAGATTACTGAGATCTGATACCTAGGAACAACTCTAAGTAGGGTAACCCCTCTCAGAATCAGAATCTTTGGTTTCCAAGACCCTACAGTGAACCCGTTATAGGACCTGCATATTATTATACATATTAATCTTGGTTGTATAGCTCAATGGAAATATCACGTGATATTTTTCTAAAGGTCATATATTCAACTCCAGTTATCATCAAAGTTATTTCTAGTATTGAGTTATTTTCTACCAATACCACTTGTAACTGCAAGGCTTCCTGCATGACAATGGAGGACCTCTAATGGAAGGATTAAGATTCTATCCTATAGAGGTGCTTCTTCTCTATACGATGAAAGTTACTGGATAGAAAACTGTGTGTTGGATCAAGAGATATGGGACATTGTGGTTGGCGACTTAAGAAGATTACATACTTGACTTTGCAGAGTTGCTGATGGAGAGATTATCTACCTATCTAGTAGAGGAGCTTCCTGCGAGTTAGTAGGAAGTCATCCAGAGGATATCTGTAGTTCAAATCAAGAGTAATGGAGGTTAAAAGTCGACAACCTAGGAAGGTTGCATCAATGACTACTCCTGCAGACACGACGTACAAATAAAACCGATCATTTATTCAATAAGTG